AGTTGGGTGCATCATCCTGCATACATGCATCCAAAGAATAGGGGTATGGGAAGATCCCTTATCCTCGTTTGCTTAAAAAAAAACCAAAAAAAAAAAAAAAAAAAAAAAAACCAATGCCATCTGAGACAAGAGAACAAAACATTATAAATCTCACGAAACCAGCTGCATCAATGGGACATTAAAAGGCTTAGCTAGTACTCTGGAGTTCAGAACAAGTAAAACAAACAATAGCAAATTATTTTAACTAGCATGTTGAATTTATCTTTAAAACCCTCCTTGTGAATGCTAAACCCCTTTACAGCGGCACTCCACAAAACCATTAATCTGAACATCTTGATACAAATATGGGGCAGAATAACCGAGAACCACTCATAAAAAATACACAAATTCTGTAATGTTGAGTCATCTATTAGTCATTTAGTCAAACCATTTTTAAATCTCCACTTTCCACTAAAAGGTAACTGAACCATAAGGACAATAAAGCTTGGTCCAGTACACAATGCAGCAAAATGCACCTCGAATCAGTAAAAAGACCACGACTTTAGCTCATATTCCGCCGATCCAGCAACATTCTTACGCATACCGAATAAATCTACATTTGTTACTAAAACCCCACAAACCTTTTCACATGAAAGTCCAGTAATTGAGCAAGTAAAGGACATAAAGGCGAGAAGGGGTTACCTGATGGAAGAGAAAAGAGCCAATGTGAGGATTTGGAAAGAGTAAATAAATGGGGTTTTGGGTTTTTATGGATAGATAATGAGAGTTAAGAGTGAATGAGATTGAGAAGAAAACGATGCCTAGTTTTAGCTGTAGCGGCTGCAGGATGCAATAGTTTAGTTGGAAACTTTGGAATTGTCGAAACTATAGAACAAGGTTTGGTTTGTTTGTATAATCAGTTACAGACGGCACGGGCACGTGCAAAGCAAGTGTAGGTCTCTCTCATCATTTTAGGTATGTTTGGGATGGTTTTACATTTAAATTTCAAAAACTAGTGTAGTAATATTTTGTTTTAATTACTCTTTTTTGGCATAGTTTCATAGCTTTCACATTTCAGATCCTAAACTAAAAATGTTTTCTTTTTATTTCTATACATACCATTTTTGTTTTTTAAGTTTAAGTTGTCAAACTAAATGATAAAGTTTATAAAATTATAAAAATTACAAAGAAAAAAAATAACATGTATAGAGATTAAAATATATTATATTTAATTATATGAACTAAAAAATAAATTTGATTAAACTATATGACTTAAAAAAGTAATTAAACAAGACAGAAATTCATAAAAAAGTGAAAGTTAACTACTAAACTTTTGAAGATTTTCAACAACATCACTTATCTCTTTCACATTACAAATCTGAATAGAAAGATGTGAAGTATTATTCGGATTTGATTTTAAATCCTAACTAGTAAATAAAATAATGTGTCACCCTTATGAAACCTGATATAATAATTTGTGACATGTGCATTAATTAAAATTATAAATTTTTATATTGTTATGATAAATGTGTATCTCAATATTTTAATTTTATATAAATATGTGTTAGTATATATATTTGAAAATATGGTGTCAAAATATATATTTGAAAATATAAATAAATTATGAATATTAGTATATAATTTTATATATACCCGTGATTTATATCATTTTATTTTTTATAAATGGTTGTTTTAAAAACATATTAATAATAAAAATATTTTAAATTATATTTTGTAATTATTAATTTTAAAATAATTTTTTTTAAGAACAAGCATATGTTTTTATAAAAAGAAAAAATTAATAACATTAATTATTATAGATTTTTCTATAAAAAAAAGTATTAAGTAATATAGATATTTTTTTACAACACTTACTTTTTTTTTGCAACCATATTATTGGTATTAAATATCCGTCAACTTCACCGATGACTAATCTCTGTCAAATGACTTGATTGACTATTTTTAGTATATATTTTCTTTCAACTACGTTTTTTCATACACAATTTAAAACTTTACTTAAAGGATTTAATTCAATATCACTCAAATAAAAAATATATAAAGATAAATTGATCACATACATAATAATTTTGTTTTATAATTAATTATTTGTTACTCATTGTGCATTTATAATTTAACATAATTAATCTCGCGTAAAAAGTTAATGTTTATCATATATAGTTAACATATATCTTGTATTTTGAAGAAAAATGATATATATCATAGATAAATTGTCAAATTACCTACTCTTTGTAGTCCTTAAGCTCAAGGAGTTAAACCTCAAGCGTGTGATTCAGCGGTAGGGGTTGATTCACGCTTAAGCAAGGTCAGGGGTTCGAATCCTGTTTTGTGTATGCAGCCGCGTTAAATCTTGGGGCCAGCTATCCCATCCTTAGGTGTCTCCAACGTAACGAGGAGATTAATCACTGCTGTCGTTTTAGTTGAAGCAACAGACACTCCAACACATGTCAAAAATCATAAAGATATAAAGTATGAGTTACATCAAGTTTAGCAATCAAAGTAAAGAAAGATTAAACATCAAATACACAAGCGTTAACATTTGAATGAATCAATTATTATTTATATTTTTTGTGTGATTTAATCAGAATTTATCTTGATTAAAAAATTATACAACTGTGTTGTAATTTTTATATTATTTTAAAAATAAATTAAAGTTATTATCTTTTATTTATTTTAAATATAAAGTGATATTATCTTTATTGTTAATTTTTTTTATGTATTATATTTATAAAGGGATAAAATATGTCTTTGATCCCTTAACACTTTTCAAGTTTAGTCACAAATTTTCAATTTATTTTTACTCTTTTGATTTAGAGATGCACTTCTTTCGATTTTTAAAGTTAGTTATATAATAATTTATAATAAATGATGATATAAAAGGAAATTAAATGAAAAATATAGTATATTTATTTTAGATTTGTTAACATTGTTATTTCTTTTGTGAAATAAAATGTTATTTTTTATTAAATATTTAATATATTATTTAATCTACAAACTTTATAGAATTTTTAATTAGATTGATAAACAAAAAAATTGTATTTGATTCATTCACCTTATTATTTTTTGTAATCTAGTTCTTAAGACTGGAGATTTATTTTCATTTCAAATTGTTTATGTATAAGGATTTATACTTATATTTTTCGTTCAAAGCCTATGAAATGTCAGGACTAATTATGTAGTGACCAAGGGCAAATATAAATATACTTGTATGTGAGCAATTTCCTCCAGTGACTTGTATTCTTTAAATAAATTATCAAGATTCAAATCATGGTCTTAATATGAAATAAATTATGTTTGAGAAAATATTTATCTTGTACGTAGTTCTCAACGTTCTCAACGAAATATTTGTTACTATTTTTAATAATAGATGTTTCATATCAATATTATAATTATTTAAAAAATATTTATTTTTCAGATTTTTTTTGTTCAAAAAATTGTTAAAATTTATTTATTTATCCCTATTGAGAAAATTTATAGATCAATTGACAATAATCCATAACTAATTAGATTTATCACATTTGTGTAAAAATTTGTAAATATACCGTTCCAAATATAGTAAAGTTGAACAAATTTAAAAAGTCAATTATATTAAAAAAATTAATAACTATGATATTGATACGAAAAATCTATTAATAAAAGTAGTAATCAATCTTTATTGGAGATTATGAGTCACACAAAATAGATATTTCACTTCCAATATAATTTATTCCAATATTAGAAACATTATAAACTATGATTTGTCATATTATTACAATTTTTTCTCAAATGTAATTTTAATATATATAAGAATACTTTTTTTAATTACAAAAATAAAATAAAATATATATATATATATACATGACTATTAATTTATTATATAATCATATACTTATTTATCAATCAAGTTGGTACACAACTAATTATTTAAAACTCATCAATGGTCACATAAAAATAAATAACAATGAATAAAAATTATTAAATTGTGATTTAGTTGACATGAATGTAACTATTGTATAAGTTGTTTATAATTTAATATCAAATTATATATTTGAATGATTTAGTTGTGATTTTATATTATTTAAATTAATTAAAATATATTGTATATTAAATTTAGTAGATATTGATTATTATTATTATTTGATTTGTTAGTTATTATTATTTTAATTTATTATATTATATTGTTGTGTGAAGTCTTGATTTTTTAAGTGTTAAATAACTTAATTAATTTAGTAATATTATCTACAAAATTTGTAAGATGAAGGAAGTTAGAATAATAAAATAAGAATCATCACTTTCTAGGAAATCTAAGTGGTGTAGGTTTGAAGGTATAATTCATGACCATAATAACAATGAATACAGGTAAGCTAAAAGCGAATTTATTGAATATATTTTATAGACTTCAAAATGATATTGATAACTTTATTTATGAATCCGATTCCTTTATACTCTTAAAGTTAATAAAGAAAATGATAACATTTTTCATTTATACTACTTGCTTATAAAAAGGATTAAATACTTTACTTTTTTAAATTAAATTGTTAGTTTTAAACATGTCTTCTGATAAATTAATTTGTGTGTCGATTTCTTAATTAAATATGGTGCCACATGCGATAATCCATTCAAATTTTGACAAGCAACCCTCATCAATTTGATTTTAATTAAAATAATTTTTTTTATTACTGTTTACTTGTACGGTATATTTTCTTAAAATAAATATGACAGGTAAAATTTTGACCCTAACTAATAAAAAAAATTGATTTCTTATTAGTGTTGGGACTAAAGTGCCTATGTGTCAATACTTCTAATGTACTGATTACGTGTATAGCATTAATATATTTTTATTATGTTAAAATTAGTATTTGTAATTTTTCCTTGTTATCATTTAAGTGTATGTGAATTTTAGTTTAATATTGCAAATTTATAGATGTTTTTTTTTTGGTAAAGTTTTTTTTTTGGTAAAGAATTTATAGATGTTTATCTATACACATTTTTTTACTTACGGCTCTATTGTTTTATTGCAATAGTTTAAGTGTATATAAAGTATTGTTTAATACAACAATTTATTTATAAAAAAAATCATTTCATAGAATCTTGTTGTAGTAGTCTAAATAACTTTGATGATTAAACTTAAGTTAGTCAAGGCAAAAAGTATAAAGTAGCTAAGGAAAAAATCAGTTTGGTCAATTATATTGTTGATAATGTCTCTTGAAATACAACTCGTTTACATGTATATGATAAAAAATATGTATAAAAAAAAACATCTATTATATGAATATGTTTGATTTGTTAACAATTTGGTAATTATTTTTTATAAGATAGGTGTGCTATATTTCGTGGATCCAACTTATGCATATTGATTAAATCTACATTTCTAACTAAAACCCCACAAACATCCTCACAAAGAAGTCCAGTCATTGAACAAGCAAATGACATAAATGTAAGAAGGGGAAGGTGAAAGTTACAATAAATCAAAATTCTTATGCATAGTGAAATTTTAGAGAGATAAAAAATTTAAAAAATATTTATAGAATCTAAAATAAAAATTCATTCATTTTATAAATACTAAAAACATGTTTTAATCTATATACGATAAACATGTAAAATTTACGCTGTAATTATTAGTTTTAAGTTTGTTTTGATGACATTTTGCAAACATTTTTTTTTCTTCATGTATATAGTGACAAATGAGCAAAATAAAATGTCAACAAAATGAAAATAAAGTAGTTAATACTAAATATGGTTGCATCATACATTTTTTTCATATGGTTATGATGATATAAAAAAAAAAACTTATGTTAAAGACATTAATTATGTATTGTATTCGTGAAGTAATACTATCTTTATTATATATAACATTGAGTGGTATAATAATTTCATTCTTAATTAAATGAATAACACACTCCAATATATATATATATATATATATATATATATATAGTTGAAGTTAAATGAGAGTTTATTTAGTTATATCTAATTTTTATAAGAATGGACTTAGGTCTTTATTGTCACAAAGAATACAAAAAATAAACAATGTGAACCATGGAAGAATAAAATATTGGAGACGTTGAAGGAAGTCCTAACACCACATTAAAAGTTCCCAAAGCTAGTCCTAATCAAATAATGGTCCAAACCCATATAGAGAGGGATAAAGCAAAAAAATGTCATATAATAAAAATAACACTTGCACAAATCTACTCACACCGGGCATAAGCTTCAGAACATAAAAGGAGTCAAACTTTGTGTGATATTCATAATGGTCTTAAAATTTTTTTCATATTTATTTTACTTTCATGTGTTCTCTCTTACTTGATTGACTCCAAATTCATTTTCTTATTAAGTGTTTGACAATAAATAAGAATTGATGATATAATTAGGTGATGGTGATCAATATTAAATTAATTTAAAAAAATATAAAATAAATCAAATGAGGATTAAACTAGTTAAAAACTAAAAGAAAGTTGATTTTGTTAATATAAAATGACAAATAATTATAAGCAAAAATTAATATTATTAATACCTAAAATAATTATAGTTGGAGAAACAAAAAAATGTCCAACCAACCTACTAAAATATAGTTGGGTCTAATAAATTTAGTGGTGGATCTCAATTTAGTTTCACAGGCAATTTCAATAACACTTGTTTACATTAGTACTTCTTATTTTTTTTTAATGTGCGGAACATTAACAACAATCCATAAAAACATTCATTTAAATATATAGCACAAGCATCAAAATATACAATTTTTTTACATGTCTTAACTTGTTAATAAACCAAGCAATTTGTGTCATAAAAAAGTTCAATACATGATACTCTTTAAAACAGTGCTTTATCTGGTTAGAGATAAGGGGAAATAACAAAAACTTCTTCTACATGAAGCGATGTCAATATTGAAAGCTTCAAATAATCAAAAGTTGGGTGCTTTGTACAATTTTTTTAATACCCTTTTAAAAATATAAAGTGAAGATAGTAAGTTTTTCATATTTGATTTTATTAATTAAAAAATTATATTTTTAAGAAAATATTTTTATTAAAAATGTTTTTTTTACATAAATTTCTCAAAAAAAAAAATCTCATAGAGGAAATCAAAATCTAATATTACAAAATTATAATGAAAGTTTTATGACAATAAAAATACCGTGTTACTTTATTTTATACTTTAATTTATTTATTTTTATAATATGAGGAATATTTACTACGAGAAAAGAAATCTTAATTTATTCTTTTGAAATTATTATAATTAAGGATAAAAATATGTTAGATCATGTTAGACTTTTAACATATAAGGTGAAACTTACCATAGGTTTTATCTGACATTTTTAAAATTGTAGTTTGACTTTTTAGTTCATTAAAAAACTTATTTTACATTAACAATGTTAAATAGACTAATAATAATAATTTATGTGATACAATTTTTTACTATATTATTATTAAGATTAAAAATAAAAAATTAATATAAAAAATAATTCATACATATTTATGCACGTGCACTCACGCACAAACTATGATAAAAGAAAAGAATCTCATTAAAACAAAATTTGCTATATATTTTCTATGTCCCATTTTGAATATTTTTATATTATTAATTATGAAGATGAAAAAAAATACAAAGTAAAAAAGTAATTTAAGTGTGGTGCAATATGTCAAAAATACTGTTAATTCTTTTTTATTAATAATTTATTTATATTATCAATAATGTAATATACATATTATTTTTTTATCATATTATATAGATAATTAAGCCCACTTATTAGATCTATCATACTTTTTAATAAATTTAAATTCAATATTTTTAAATAAATAATTTTTTTAATAATAATGACTAATTACGAGTAAGGTGGTCATTTAATACAAATCATTATTTGTGCTAAATAATGTTATTATATTTTTATTTATTTAATATAGTAAAATTAATGATATTAAAATCAATTGATTATTAAATTAATCAAACACTTTTTTAAAGTTTAATATTTTAATCAATATTAATTAAATAATATATAAAAATAATATGGTATAAAAAATATAATAATGATATCACATAAATATAATATGATAATTTTATAATATTAAAATTAAAATAAGATATTATTTTTATTTAAATATAATATTTTAATTTTAATTTTAATAAAATATAACGATGTAAATTACCAATAACAATTTTACATGTAATGTAAAGTTAAAAAATAAGGTAAAGATAATTATGCAGCAAAACGCACAGCAGCAGCAACTGGCACGGGTTGTTTGTGTCAAGGCCCAAAACCCTAACCCCTGATCACATAGCAAGCGAGTCGCGAGTATATAAACACAGCAGCAGCCTAGCCTCAAACTCACTCTGTTGTTCTCAAAACCCTAATTATTCGTAACGTAGGGTTTTGCAGAGCCTCCTTCGTCTCTAATCTCTTCCTCTCCAACGCGGCTTCTTCTTTCGTTTCGAGATGGGCAAGTCAAGCAAGAACTCAGCTCTCAAGGTATCTGTTTTGCTCTCATGTTTCAGTCTTTCTGTGAATTTGTTCTTTTATATCTCATGTTTCTTTATGGCACTGTGTCTAACTTTTTTTACTCATTGTCTTTTCTTTTCGCTGTTTTGAAGGTTGATGCTGCTCCAGCTGTGGTTCCCCTGTCGAAGTCTGCCAAGAAGGGTATTGAAAATTTTCTCTATTTTTGTAGTATTGATATCATGTTTTATTGACGTTATTTTTATTTATTTGTTATATTACAAATCGATTTTTTTTTGGTTTATGAGTTCTATGGAAGGTTAAGTGCATATTTTGTTTTCAGTCTGGAGGTCCTTGGTAGGAAAGTTAAGTGCATGTTTTTGTTGCTGTTATTGTTTTTATTTTTAATTTTTTTGGTGTATGGGTTCTAAGGAAGGTTAAGTGCGGGTTTTGTTCTCAGTTTGGTGTCAACACTTATTGCGCAATGAAGTCATTTAAACATGTTTTCTAATTTTAATCCAATCATGCACTAATTATTTTATATTCCAAAACTGTGAAAATTTAATCCCTTTTCAATGTAGTTTTCAAATTAGCTTCATTGATTTGTGTTGTTATAGTAAAACCTTCAAATGTTAATGTTGTCAATTAACTAACAGGCTCTACCAGATTTAGCCTATTAAATTAAGATTTTGGTCTTGTTTTGAATTTTTATTTTTTGTTAGTGATTTTTTCCTTGACTTATTTTGATATGTATGCAGGTGGCAAGAGGCAAGCTGAAGAAAAAATTCAGAAGCAAGTAAGTGCTAAAAAGCAGAGGACAGAGGAGGTTGCTCAGAAGCAGAAGAAGGAAGCCAAGGTGCAAAAGAAGGAAACTAGTTCAGATGATTCTTCTTCAGAATCTGAAGATGAGGTATTGCACATTTCTGCTCATGGTTTAATGCCCGAAACTGTGATCTTAATAATCCTTTTTTTTGTTATTTTATCTCTATTATGTTTTTCTTGGACTCAGAAACCTGCATCCAAACCTGTTGTTATTTCAAAGAAGATACCTGCTAAGAATGGTGCTGCAAAAGCACCAGCAAAAAAAGGCAAGCCATTGTCCAGTTCTTCTGAATCATCTGATGATGACTCCTCTGATGAGGATGAAGTGATTGCAAAGAAGCCACTGAAAGAAGTGGTTTCAGGGAAACAAAAGAAGGAAGCATTGGTGCAAAAGAATAAGAACGAAAGTAGTTCAGATGATTCTTCTTCAGAATCTGAAGATGAGGTATTGCACATGATTATTGATGGTTGAATTTCATGTCAGCAAAGTGATCATCTTTTCTTGTTGAATTATTTCTCATCTTTCTTTTCTCTATTGATCTCAGAAACCTGCAGCAAAAGCTCCTCTACCTTCTAAGAAAATACCTGTGAAAAATGGAAATATAAGTAGCTCTGCTAAGATAGCCAAGCCAGCTAGCAGCTCTAGTTCTGAATCATCTGAAGATTCTTCATCGGAATCCGAAGACGAGGTGTTTTACATGACTAATTATGGTTGCATGCATAAGAACTGTTGAATTCATGCTAGTTTATAGTGTCATTTTATTCTCTGTTGTATTTATTGCCCTTCTCATTGTTTTCTATATTTTGGGATCAGAAACCTGCGACCAAAGTTGCTGTTCCTTCACAAAATCAGTCTGCAAAAAATGGTGGTACCCTAGCAAAGAAAGGCAAGCCAGCTGCCAATTCAACCACTTCTGAATCATCTGATGACGACTCTGATGAAGATGAGGTTAGTGAGACATCTTTCATTATGGGATGAAATAGTGAAAACATCCTATCTATTAGTTTGTTTTATTATTTGCTGAAATATTTACAATGCCTTGTTTCTTATTTTTGCTATTGCTTTTAGGCCCCAAAATCCAAGGTGGTTCCTGCACTAGCCAAGAATGGACTTGCTTCCACAAAGAAACCTGATAGCTCAGACTCAGACTCTGATAGTAGTTCTGATGAGGATGATGTAAGTTTTTTGTTTTCCATGTGACACCATCTTGCTGTATTTGTTTTCTGATATAAAAGTAAAAACACTACCAGGTATTCCAAAATGTCCTATCGACACCCACTGTCTGTTAGTAGCATAATATGATGTTGCATTTATTATTTGTTTTTGTCATATGATCTATTTGATAGTTAATTCACTGTAATATGATCTTTCTGGGTCCTTATTTGCTTGCAGAATAAAAAAAAACCAGCAACTTCAAAGCTGCCTGCACCATCAGTTACTCCAACTAAGAAAGTGGAAAGCTCAGATGATGAATCTAGTGATAGCTCTGATGAAGATGATGTAAGTTGTGGATTGTTGGGTACATGGAATAATGATAATTGTTTCTGGTTTTAAAAAGATTTTTGAAACTAGTCATTCTATCCTTATGTTTGGATGTGCATAGGATGCAAACCCTGCAGTAGCTGTTGTGTCAAAACCTTCTGCTGCTGCAAAAAAGAATGTTGACAGCTCTGATTCTGATGATAGCAGCTCTGGTGATGACAATGTAAGCTTTCTAGTTATTTTTCTAATTTTTTTTAACTATATTTATCTGGCTGTGATTCATACATACCTTTAATTGCACTTTGATCTGAATAATGACTGTTGAGATTGTTACTTGTCCACTATTAATATTTTTACATGAAAAACAGTTACTTGACTTGTACTAGTTGAATTTTGGTGTTTGTGCAGAAAAAGGATGTTAAAACTGTTTCTATTGCCAAGCCAGTGCCTGTTTCTAAGCAGCATGTGAAGAAGTCAAGTAGTAGTGATTCAGATGAAGAGGCTAGTTATTTTATTATATAGTGTTTGTTTTTTAAACTTGATTTTTATTCAAACTTTCATGACATTTTTTGTTTTTTGATTGGTTAATTTCTACAGGACTCTTCTGATAGCGACTCTGAGGATGAAAAGGTATGTTTGGATGCTCTTATTTTAATTCTGCTTTATCCTGTGCTACACCCTTCCTATATAGGGTTTCTTTGTCAGGATCTTAATTTGGGTTCATGATATTGTTGCAGAAGAATGTTAAAGTTTCTAATGTTAACAAGGAAGCAGCACCTGTTGTGAAGACACCTAAAAATGTGTCTAGTGAAGATTCATCAGAGAGTGATTCTTCAGACGATGAGGTAATGCATGGCATATAAACTTTGTTAATATTATTATTATTATTATTTGTTTTGTTATCATTGTTGATCAATAAATATTATTTCATGTGTTAATAACAGGGGAAGATGGATGTTGACAAGGATGGTAGTTCTGATGAAAGTGAGGAGCCAAAAAAGAAAAAGGTATGAAAGTTTTTTGTATCTTTGCTAATTACAAGTTTTACCTTTTTATTTAATATGCTATTTCTTATATTTCAATGTTGTTTTTTATTCCTATTTAATATTTTAATCTGTACCTCAAATACTTGAACATTTATTTTAAATTCTTTTGTTAATCCTGTTTAAAATCCAATTTAAATAAGTAATTTTATGAAGTGGCAAAATGATGATTTATCCACTGTTGACTTGAATTGACTCAAGTTTACTATATATTTTAATCCTAATTAATGGTTGTGGGTAAGCTCTCACTGAGTATTGATATTCACTTTCTCGCTTTACAAGTTTCCTCTCTTTTTAGAATAGCCATAGAAAAAGTGGAGTTTTGGTATATCATCAAAGTCACCATTTGTGTTCTGACTTTTAACTTTTACTTTTATTTTTCTCTCCAGACTGTGAAAGATTCAAAAGAAAGCATTGATAGTTCTGATGATAGTGAGGAGGAAAGTGAGGATGAACCCTCCAAAACTCCTCTGAAAAGTGTAAGTCATTCATCATATTTTTCTATGATCGCACGAATTTCACTTAGTAAAATCTTGTGATTTTTGGGGATAATATAATTCATCATTGCAAAACAGGCAAGGGATGTCGAGATGATTGATGCTGCCACTGTATGTATTTGACTGAAATTCTATCCTTTCCTTTCCTGCATCAAGTATCAGTGGTGTGATGTTTATATCTTTAATTTTTTCAGCCTAAAACCCCAGCTACACCAAAAGATGAAAGTGGTGCTTCGAAAACACTATTTGTTGGAAACTTGCCATTCAGTGTTGAACGAGCTGATGTGTATGTTTTTTTCTTCTCATAATCATTCTCATGTATTTCAGTTAGTTAAATAATGTTCGTTGGAAATGTTCAGGGAAAATTTCTTCAAAGATTGTGGAGAAGTTGTTGATGTTCGTTTCGCTTCAGATAGTGATGGGAGGTTTAAAGGGTTTGCACATGTTGAGTTTGCAACAGCAGATGCTGCTCAGAATGTGGGTTTTGCTACCTTATTTAATCTACATTCCTTGTATTTTTTTTTCTTTCAGGAATTTAAAGTCTGTTCTTCTGTCTAAAATAAATAGGTGGTTTTTTTACTAGTTCATAGCTTGGTACTTAGCAATGGAAGGTGTATCTTTTGTGTTATGCTCGTGTTATAATAGCTATAACACCTATTTTTATTCAGGCATTGTTTTGTCTGTTTAATTTGTGTTGAGAATCTGTTTTTGTAATCATAGGCCCTTGCGTTGAATGGCTACGAATTGTTTAATCGTGCACTTCGGCTTGATTTAGCTAGGGAAAGGGGAGCACAAACCCCCAACAGCAGGTAGTTCTTTTATCGAAGTTTTCATGTCATGTTATTTTTTGTCTCACGTCTCTATTTAATCATTTTTTCTTGTATCCGAATAATTTTAGCAACTGGAACAATTCATCCCAGAAAAGTGGAGGTCAGTCACAGACTGTATTTGTGAGGGGTTTTGATAAGTCCCTTGATGAAGATGAGGTAAATATTAAGCTTGAGTTTTGCCGTAAAGAATGCGTTTTCCCTTTATATGCCACTTTGAGTGTCGGCAGTAAATGACGCTAACTTTGTTTTTTCAGTTAAGAGCTAGTTTGCAAGAACATTTTGGTTCTTGTGGGGATATTAAAAGGGTATCCATTCCAAAAGATTACGACTCTGGTGCTTTTAAGGGGTATGAATTTGTTGTTTTGTTGCATGTAAAATTCCATTTGCAATTATTTGTTGCTAATATAAAAAAATCCATTCGCATGTATTTGTTGCTTGTTTAAAAAATTCCATTATCATGCTGTAGCTTGTTACGAGCACATTATTCTATGTAATTTTGAAAACTACTTATCGATGCCATTTACCTGCGATATTTGTCATATTCATCTACCCGTCATCTTACTTGTCTAGTTGATTTTCAGGATTGCATTTACATCAACAAATGCTATTTTCTAATTTGAATTGTCAATCTAACCTTTTAATATTTACAGGTTTGCTTACGTGGAATTCAGTGATGCTGATGCCACTAGCAAAGCTCTAGAACTTCATGAAACTGAACTGGGAGGTTATACCTTGTCAGTGGATGAGGCAAAATCCAGAGATAATCAAGGATCTGGTGGTAGAGGTGCAGGTGGTAGGAGTGGTGGCCGATTTGGTGGAAGGGGTGGTCGATTTGGTGGAGGCAGTGGTGGGCGATTTGGTGGTGGCGGTGGAAGGGGTGGTGGAGGAAGAGGTGGTCGAGGAAGAGGTGGTGGCGGAAGGGGCCGTGGAACCCCATATAACAGACCTAATCTTGCTGCGGAAGGCACAGGTAAGATTCCTTTTTTATCAGTATTTATTAACTATTAGTACGTTCATTTACTTTTATTTTCCCAACATCTCTTTTAAATATTGTTTTCTTCCCGGCAACGTTAATTTATGTTTTAGGTTGATTATTTTACGAGTTCCTTTTTCCTGATCATTTAATCTTGTGTGTTTATTCAGGGAAGAAAACCAAATTTGCTGATGATTAGAGTGGCAGTCTTGCAGTTATACTGAAAAAGATTATTATTTTCTTTTCGCATTTCGCTAGTTTTGGCTCCTCAGTTTTGTTTAATGTTAGTAAGAATTCGTAGAATTCAGTTGTATTGGAAATTTTTTGTGATCGATGATACAGTGTCTTATCTTATGGATTATATAATTATATAGTATTTGTGGCTCTAGATATGTGGTTTATTATTTTGTTAAATCAAATTGGATTAAATATATATTATATTCAAAGGCTGCTATACCTTATTCAGTATGCAGAAAAAATTGGAAAACCAACATTTGTTGCGACACTTTAAAAATTAAAAATGTTAATGACAGTCAAAGCTGTCTCGGTAAGCTTGTCGCAACTTTTGAAAATGTGCCCTTGTTTTTTCTTTGTAACGATGTGTTTAATGATATAAACAGTGTTTTTCCACGACAGCCTATCATTGAAATCATAACGTTATCATGGCATGACGTTTATAAAAATTAATATTTAATAAAATTTAAATTAAATATTAAATTTATTCCTTGTTTCTTTTTCTTAAAAATGATCGAAAAATTAAAACAACATAAAAATAAGAATTAATATACGATTTAATTTATATATATGTCATATCACTTATTTAGTATAGAACCATATTAGGATTAACAAGTAAATATTTAGTAATAACTAAAATTACATATTTGTCTGTATCCAATTGTTGATTCACTTAATAATCAATGGATGAATATTTAACAAACAAAATTAAATGTACAATATAATTTATATACCATAACATTTATGTTTATTTCTTAAATAATTTGATTAATTTTTGTTATCTATTACAAACAAACAATTATTTTTTTTCTATAAATTACTTTTGGTTCGACTTAAGTATTATTTGATTTCTCTTCAAATAATTTAATTATTTTTTAAATAACAATTTTTCCAAAGTTTAAGTATTTTTTATATAACAAAATCTCTTGAGACCGTAAGATAAAAACACAATTTAAATTGGATAAAATAATAAAAAAATTGTCTTACACACAAAACATGACAAACTTTAAAGTATATACATTTATAGAGAAAGGAGGAATAAATTTAATGAATAAATATCTCTTTTTTTCGTAAGGTTCAAACTCCTTTATATGAGTGAACTTTGAATATGACTATTGCAAAAGTGACTTTTAGCTGACTTTGTGTGCTTTAAGATATTTAATTGTCTTTATTTTTATGAAAAAGTTATCGATCCTCTATATGTTGCAAATATTAAAAAAACTTTTATTTTTTAATTGGTTAAGGAATAACATGAAAATAAATGATAGAAACAACATACATATTAAATGTGAAATTTAAAGCATTTTTTGTCTACAAACAAAAAATTCACTATAAAGATTATCATGCATTTCATTTGTTCATTATTGTCTTTAACTATGATTTACAATATCGTCTTTGACGAGTGATACTTTTATATCTTTGCAAAAATATCTAAGTTTGTTAATATTAAAATATTACTTTTGAAAGGTTATAGATCGTCATTTGATTTACACAATTTATGTAAAACATGTAAACAATCTAATTTAAACTTCATTTGAATATTAATTTTTTTTATTAATATAAGGGAAATTAATTTTATAAAAGAATCTAACAATAATAACAAATATATATTTAAATTTTTTTTTAAACATTAAAATCTTAAAAAAAATTACATTATAGAAAATTTAAACTTAGATTTTTAATATAATTATATGAGCTGCTTTGTTTTGGTTAGCTAGTATGTTGCTTGGCTAACAAGTTAGGCGAGACAAATTGGTAAGTTAGACACCTAGCTTGCTTTGTCATTTTTTGGCGAGTTGTTAGGGTGACTCACCAAGTCCAACTTGTTTTGCTATCCTAGATATGATAATTCAAGTATGAAGATATAAAAATATCATATCTTACTTCACAAATCATAAGCAAATTTTTAATCATTAACACTAATTACAATATAAAAAGGTAAAAGGACTTTTAATTTTTTTTCCTGTCTTAAAGGCCTTATTATTAATTCTCAAAAAATTCATAGAATAAGTATTTTTGAGGACCAAAAGTGGTGTATCTTCAAATTAAAAAAATCAAAATAAAATCAATAAATTTTGAAGAACCAAAATCAAACTTAAAAATTTTTAGAGGACTCAAATATATTTTAACCTTTTATGAATGTAATGCATAAAAAAATAAGAATAAAGATAATAAAACTTTATAACCATACCACATTTTTATAAAATATAAAAATATAATTTTTTTTTATAAAAATTCTAACATAATTACATAATTTATTTAAGAATTTTGGACCCTTCTATACTTTGGGCCCAGGGCGGTTGGATATGCAAACAAGGCCCAGGCCGGCACCCCATAACACTATATAAAGTGACTGTTTGTTTGGATTTCTCGACATGTTGGAGTCTTTGGAGAAGTCAAACGTGTGAGTGTTTTCTACATTTTCCTTTGGTTGAATTTATTAATTACAACGCCTATAAATAATAAAGATAACCATTTTCTTACGTGTTTGTCTGCATTATGTTATTAAATGCTTTATTTTCTTTTCTTCTCCACACAACGCCATTTTACAATAGTTAACAAGTTTACTTAACTTGTTACATTTTTACAAGAGTTTCCAGTTGTGCCTGCAGATAAAATATCAAATAAAGAGGCCATACAGAGAGATCTTGATCAAACACAATGGTTCGTTGGTTGATTTATTTATTGGGTTAGGTTGGTAATAATCTTTTATTCTTTATTAATTATTTCTATTATTCGTCTTTTCTTGTATGATATCTATCTGTAATTATGTATTAAAATGCTTTTCTTGATACTTTTTCTTTATTTTCATGTTAGTGTTTTTCCAAAACAAACCTTTCTTGGTTCTAGCAGTAACAATGAAAATAGAGTAGGAGTTTTAATAGTAATATGGTATATAGTTAAAGGCATTTTGTTATCTCAGAGGTCTTTATTTTTTCTTTAGGCAATTAATAGAACCAACAAAATGATTAGTTGTAGATTCATCTTCCTAAAAATTAATATATAATGTTAACAGAGGTCTGTTTTGAATCTTTTGATTTTCTTTTTTGTTTTGTTTTTCTTTCTTGATTTTTGATTAGCATTCTGGCTCCTACCTTGCAGTAGTTTCAGTCACTTTTATTGTTTTTACAATAATATTTGCAGGGGTTTTTGAACCTCTTGTATATTTTAATTTTTAAACCAAATTTGAATATTTTAAAAAATGATTACTAGTTAAAATATTCTTATAATATAATTTGTATATTTTAAAACAATCTTACTATGTTGCGGGTAAGGTCCACGAATAAACGGGCCTAAAAGTTGGGCCGGAGATGGATCTGGATCTGGATCAGGATCAAGAGACATGAAACCTACGACACACGAGGGGCAAGGCAAGGGAGAACAGTGGAACACCGCACACGTTGTTTTGAAGTTTAAGCTTTGCACTCAAAAAACATTAACACAACTTCGAAGTTGTATCTCATCTCTTCTCCACGCTCTTCTCGCACATTCTTTCGCTTTTCCCTCTTAATCTTATGACCTCGTTTTCACACCAGCTATCCATTAAGGTATGCTTCTGATTGCACAATTCCTTCTCTCTCACACGCAATTTCTCAATCCTTTTACGTTTTATTCCATCTCTGTCTTTCGTAATTATTCGTATTTCCTACGATTTATTCATTTATTTCGAGCTGTTTCTTTCGTTGGCGATTCAGTGCTGGATCTCGTGCCTTGTATTTGGAATTAAAACATTAATTGATTCGTTTTTTGTGTTATCATTGCAAAATTGTTTCACACTGTATTCAGATCCTTTCCACTATGATGATACGTTATGATGATGTGCTTGTGTGTGTGTGTGTGTGTGTTTTTTTTTTTTTTTTTTTTCCTTTTCAAATTCTCTCTGTTTACTTTGCTTAACTGTGCTTCTTGTTCTGTCAGCACGTATTAGTCTCTTTCTGTTACAATTTAAAGCATTCATGATAATGGCGGATTACTAAGAGTAGGATTTGTTTATCTACTTGTCATTGTCTTGTTGCTGACTTGGAACTTGGCGGTCCTAATTCTGGAGAGGAGAGAGTGAGTTGGCCTTAAAATCGTAGTATAGCTTTTTTCTAGTTATATTAACCTTGACGAAAGCAATGAGGTTATTTTTTTTAACTCTCTAATTAGTCTTATGTGGAAAAAGTAGTAGAATATCAAGTAGCCAAGCTGTAAATTTAGTTGAGCATGTTCCTGGTTTTTATTTTACTTAACGAACATGTATGATGTCAGCAGTATCTTGATGCTACTCAGAATCTTGTACAAGAACATATATTTTCTATGAATTAATTGTATGAGTTAAAATATTTTTTCAAAAATGCTATTTCTCAATGAATTAGAGATGTAAAACAATCAACTGCATGCTCATTGTTTTTGGTTCCATTTCATTATGTTCAAATGTTCAACATTTTTTTGGTCTTGCAGAAATCAATTTAATGCTGTGTATGAATTGCTTATCCTGACTTTTAATTACAGTTTGATCATTAAAACTATTGAATATTGAACCTTGAGTTATGACAATGAATTATCTAATGAATGGGTATTCTTCTGCAGCACAGTAAGTGTTGAAGAAAGACAATAATTTCAATGTACTTGAGGAGAATACAGTGCAGAGATAGGACATGGGCTTTGGTGTTGCAGCCATCAAAATACTTCTTTAGGCCAAGATTCTATGATCATCCATACTTTCAATCTTTGTCCCCTAAGATCACTGTGAAAGAATATTCTTCACATGGCAGGATCATCAGAAAACATCTTTTAGGTTCTGATTCATGTAGGCATACTTCATCTAGAAATAGTTTCACTGGTCTGGATAAAAGGCCTAGTTTATGTCTTAATGGTACTCAGTTACGTTCCTATAGTTCTGAAGGTGATGGAAGAAATGCAAGTGAGGATAATCATGTACATGTTAGTGATGGAGCTAACTTTGATAAAGGAGAGAATCAAAAAGAGAAGTTTGGGAAAGATATCGAGCACTGCAATGCACATACACGACTTGGAGAACAGGAACAAGAGGAATGGCTTAATAATGAGAAGCTTTCTATAGAAAGTAAAAAGAGAGAATCACCATTTTTGACAAGAAGGGATAAGTTTAAAAATGAGTTTATGAGAAGAATTATTCCTTGGGAGAAAATAAACATTTCCTGGGAGACATTTCCTTACCATATTAAGTAATTACTTGTTTTTCCTATTTGTTCTTTTTCAATATAGTCTCTTTATTGCGGAATTAAATTGTATGTTTCCATCTGTAGTGAGCATTCAAAAAATCTTCTGGTGGAATGTGCTGCTTCCCATTTGAGACAAAATAAGTTTGCTTCATCTTTTGGCACTCACCTCCCATCATCAAGTGGGAGAATATTGCTTCAGAGCATTCCTGGTCTGTCATTTATTTCATAATTTTTGTCTTTATTCTGTTTAATTTATAATTTTTATTTTGGATGCATTTCCATAACATTTATGCCTCAGTTGTTTAGTATAGTTTTTATCATAAGTCTGAATATTGTTGCTGTCTTTTTATCTAAAGGGACTGAGCTGTATCGGGAGAGATTGGTTAGAGCTCTTGCACAAGATTTACAAGTTCCTCTGTTAGTGCTTGATAACAGCATTCTTGCGGCTTATGTAAGTTCCAGAAGAACTTAGACAAACAATTTTTTGGTATATAATAGCAGTGGTGCTAGAAAGATAATATTTACATTATTTGAATTGTTATGCAGGATATTGACGATGATTTATCATCAGATTATGATTCTGATGAAGATAATGCAGAGTCTGGGGAGGAGGGTTCTCTGGAATCGGAGAATGAGGTTGATAATGATGCTAGCAATGAAGAAGAGTGGGCTAGCAGTACTGAGGCGAAGTCAGATGCAAGTGATAATGAAGATGCAATAGCATCTGCTGAAGCTCACCTTAAGAAGGTTAAAGCAGCTGTTCTTCGGAAACTTGTCCCTTACAATGTTGAAGAATTTGAAAAGGTTTAAATACAGTCAACTGTTTACTGTGGAAGCTTTTATTTAATGCACACTGCACAAAATGTAACTTAAGATGATGAATATTTAGAAAATATTATTCTAATGCTAGTGTTAATGAAAATCTATTTGTTCATTATCTTGAAATTTTTCACTCCATCTACGTAAATCTAGTTTTGTGTTATTCTATTACTTACGAAGATTATTTATGTTTCATTTCTATATAAGCAATCTGTTATTTACACTGATAAATAATAGGAAATCACTTTAGCATTGTGCATAACAAATAATGAAACATAGATTTCTAATTTTTGGTGACTACTTTAAAAACAACTAGATCATAATTTTTTTTTTGGGAGGATGTTTATTTGTGCTATTGTTGCATTATACTTAAGTAGGAATACAACGGTTGAAGTTGATATTTGGCAATGTAGTCAGGACAATCTTAAATAAAGTTCAATGTTATGATAGATTTTTAGCAATTATTTTAATTGAAACTTGTCTTAATCTTCTCTCAAGTATTATTAATATTTAGGCTTGTAAATAAACTTTTGACAGATATTTTTATATCTCATTACTACCCCAAACTTTTGACAGATAGTGTCTGGAGAATCCGAGAGTTCTGAGTCATCCAAGTCGAATGATGCCGAATCTTCTGATAAATGTGAATGCCAGCTAAAAAAAGGTAACATGTTCAGCTTGCTGGAAATTTGATCATGCATATGAACTTGCCAAATGTGTTTTGTACATTATCTACTTGCAAGTAAAACTAAGACATCAATTGTCCTCATCCTATCAAGGATTATATATTTACTAGTTAACCGATTATTATGAAATTAAGCTCTCATGCACAGTGAACTATTCCTTGCCTTATTCCTTCATGATGACCTGCAAATGGAAAAATCATTTATACTGTTGTAATTATGAGGTTTTAAAATACAGGGAAAAGTAACTTTGAATATTATTTACTTGTGTATTGTGATATATTACAATAAGATGTAATTGGATAATAAAACCAAAAAGATTGATCCATATTAATATTAATAATCCTAACTAAGGAAACAAATCACAAAATAAACATGAAAACTAAGAAAGTATTACAACTAATCCTAATAGATGATTTCTAAGACACTCTAATGTATTCTAAGATATAGTATTGATAATATCCCAACACATACTTCTCTGAACCTTGAGACTTCCTTTTCTCAATGCTCCAAGGTTCAATCCACTAATCTGTTTCCCAATAGCATCAATTCATGGTTAATCATTCCATTAAAGCATTAAGAATAAATACAAGCACTTAATGGAAAGATAGAAATTTTAATTAAGATGTAATAGAATCCACAAGAAATTCATATTAGGTTCATCATCCCATAACCTAGAGAACTATGTACACATGATGGAAGAAAAAACAAAAATAAGAAAGAAAAAAATTCGACAGAATTCCATTAGTGTTTGAAGAATCTGGAAGTTGATTCCCTAATATTGAATCTCCACTGACACCAACCTCTAAAATAGTTGCCCTTTTGGAATATGAAGATATGACACAAATGTGTAAACAAGAAACCTCTAAAATGAGTCTTCAATATGATGTCCTAATCCTAAATTCTTGAAATTCTTGTCTGGTCTTTTAATATGATCGGAGATTTGGCAGCCTAGTGAGTTTTGACAACCTTGATGTTTTACCCCTTCCCATGATCCTCTTTCTATTTTGTTTTTCTGTTTTTGATGATGTTTTATCCATCCCTTTGTTTTAGTTTTTCACTTGTTAGATAAAATAGGTAAATGGAGTCTAAGGTGCTGCATGGTGTTGAGAACCTTCTATTTTGGTTTCCATGATTAGAGGGATGGGAATGGTATGTTATTGAGAAGAGAGGGAGAGGAAGAACATATAACATACGAATTTGGTTTGATGTGATGTAATGGGGTGAAAGAACCCTCCATGATTGAAATTTGTCACACTGTATTTGTTTCTCTTGTTATCTGGCTCTCCTTGTTTGAAGGAGCTATGATTTGATCACTGGAAGTGATACTACTGTTATTTCTATAAAAAACAATGCTACTTGCATATATCTTTCCTCTAGACAATATTGCGTCTAAGACCTGGAGTAGTGATACAGGAAGCTGGTCACATAATTGAATTATTTTACATTGATTTGCTTGGATAACGTTTTCCTAAATCCCGTTAGCAAGTATTTGATCACTTTTAGCTTTGAATAGATTCACTACTATGCATATTAGAATTTGGGTTTGTACTTAACTCCAAAATCTTGCTTTAGAGGTGAGGGTTGCCCTCCATTTATACACATAGTTGATGTGAGTTCATCACATTTCTCTTACACTAAGGGCTGAACATTTCAAACGTGGAGTTTGTAGAAGTAGAAATCTAATTTTATATTTGAATTTGGGCTCAAGCCTAACTTTATCCCAAAAGTTAGTTCTAGAGTCTAGAAGAGTTGCTTCCCATTTATAGACCTGTTTTGGTGATATCAATAGTTGATGTGGGATTTCCAAGACTCTCACAATGCATAAGTTGTAGCCCAGTTTTTTTTCCTTGCTCAATTGCATTATGTGATTCATGTAGCCGACTTCACCTAGAGGGAGAAGGCTTTGTTGCTTTGTTTTTATTGTTGAATGTTGTAGCCCAGTCTTTAGTGCTGGAAGATAATGTATTTCTGTTTGTTGCACTTGTGATATTGAATGAATTTGGGATTATGCAAACTTTTAATGACTCATCTTCTAAGCTATTTGCTTTCATTTTCCCATTTTTATTAACATTTATGTAAATGTCTACATTACTGCTTTGTTACATTTTTCTTAGGTGACCGTGTGAAGTACATTGGGCCATCTGTTCAAGTTACAGATGAGGATAGGTAATAAAATAATTCCCCTTTTTTCCCCTTCTCCCTAATATTGATGTGCTTACTTTAGTCCATCATCTTCCGCAAAGTTGCTTTTTTTGTGTTGAAACTTGAAACATTCATTTAATTTATTTACTATGGCTGCAAACATGACTGGTTTTGATGAATCATTGGGGAAGATTTTCCTCAGCTAACTACATATTTTAAGCAAATGGTAGACAATTATTTCTTTATTGTATTTTCAAATAAAAGAAGAAATCTTGTTATAGAACCATGATACTAATGCAACTGAAGGATGAGAAATATATGTTGTGGTACCTAAAAAAATAAATAGCTGAAGAGGCTATGAAATAAACATGTTTGCTATTTGCATATCAGAAGATGCTGTTCCTTTGTAACAGGAGAGCCAGAGCACCATAGAATAGTTGTATGCACAAGTTGGTTCTTAAAATATGAAGGGAAAACAAGCAAAGAGATCCCTTGGGCATTTATACATCAGAGAACTGCATAAATGATGCACTGCCAGTTTCTTAGATGATGCTTCAAGGATTCCTGATGACCTCTTGGGATTTGATTTAGAAACTCAAGCTGATAAATGAATATAATTATTAATTCCATTGTTCCGAAAAAGAACGCAAGAAAGCATCTTCATTCATTAATAAGACGTTAAATATTGCACAAATGATGACAATTATTATTTGTGCATGATGTTGAGGTGATTATTGTTTTTTTGTGCTTTTCATGCTTGTGGGCTTTGTGGCTATGGTGTGGTACTATTGGTGATTATAGAGGAAGTGGTGATACTGTTGGATAGGGGTAAACTTGACAGCCTATACTAAAATACCATTACCTTCTATGTGCTTTTCAAATTTGACCAAAGTTCAAGGAATATCTACATCACACTATTATAGTATTATTGGTAATTTTAGAATAAGTGTTGATATCGTTGGATAGGGGTAAACATGACTTAATCAATCTCAAATCTTGTGATATGGGGGTTTTCTTTTTAAATTTTGTGATTGAATTCTTAAATCTGAAGATTATAATGGGATAGTGTGGAAACAACTTCCCATGGATTTTTTTTGTATACTGATTTCTTCCCAATATAAGGTCTTTAGGAACCCGTGATTCATTGAAGTCCTTCAGAGAATTGAAAATAGAAGTTCTTATATGATAATCTGATTTTTGAGTAGTCAACTAATTGATATTCCTGTATACCATAGTACAGAAGTAAATACAGTTATTTCTGGTGGATGTCTTTGTCCTTGTTCATTTATCATGTGGTGTAATTATATATGCCAATATCTGGTGAGCATTTCTAATTTTATGTCGTTTTTCTTTAAGCAACATTTCAATTTTTTATGGTAATAAGTTCTAAAACTATCCTTGTAAGTGTGTTTGATACAAGTGCTCAGTTAGTGGGTGCAAGTCACATAATTCTAAACTGTACATTAGGACCTTGTAATTTTGATGAATGTCTTAGGACATTGAGCCCAAGTAATTACGAAGCCGATATTCTGTCCAAAAATGATATTTTGAAACCTTTGTGCTGAAACTTCAAATATAGTTTGAAAGAAAGGCACTATAAGACAACAATTAGCATGTTGTCAAATTTTTTGAGAAGTGTGGTTCTAAGAGAGTTGCCTCGGCTGTTTCTTGTAAAACCATTGTATCATCCCCATTGGACTTTGAGCTAGCACTCACCTGACATTGGCATACATAATTTTATCACAGGATCATACTGGGGAAGATACTGACATCTGATGGTCCAACTAGTGCATATACTATTATACATGGCAGGTGGGTTGGTAAGTCATCGCTATGTGTAGAAGTCAAACTGTTAAATGCCTTTCACCCTTTGGCATTACATTGAAACCCTTTTTTCTTTAAATATGCAAACATTGATGATAACACATAATATAAACTGGCTTGCATTTAATTTGAGCTTTGATTGGAGATGCGATCTGACCTGGAAAAGCTTGCAATGTGACCCTACAAGGAATCCTACAGTAATCAATGTTTAGGTTATAGAATGTGAAGTGTTGTAAATACTAGTTACAGTGATTGGGTGTACTGGGACTAGGTTTGAGTTTTGCACAATCACTCCTTGTAAATTCCATTAAACATAGTTAATTTCCTCTCTGTTCTGCCCATGGACATAAGCATAATAGTTTGCCATAGTTTGAACCATGATATTTTTTTGTATCTTTCTCCTTCCAATTCTCTATCTGTGCCTCTGGTTACAGTGTAACATGTGGCAGACAGTAGCTGGTCATTTGAATGCAATGTAAACGTCAAATGTTGACATCCACTTTAGCTTTCTGCTTTTTTTTTTTTTTTTGTGTGTGTGTGTGAAAGATTTCTGCCTTTTATTTCTATCTGATGGTTACCTAATAATTATTTCCTTGAGTTGTCTATTCGATTTTCCTTTGAATTGGGAGATATCTATCTGCTATCATTCTGTTTCCTTTCTTATTGTGAGTTCCTTTCCTTAGTGAAGTGATGAAGCATGGAATCAGAGTAATGATGGGCATGTGGCCTAGAAACAGTTGAATGTATTTTTGTATGAATTGGGATTTTAATCTTATTGGTTAGGAGTGTATTTGTCCTTTCTGAACACCATTATTGAGGTTTCAGGAGAAGAGATGCTATGTGAGGGTATGTAGCACATTTTGAGTTGCATTCAAGCAATGATTTTTCCCCATAAATCTTCTTTGGGACAGGATAGTTTTCCTGGCTTCTTTGTGGGTTTATTTGATTATGTTCGTGGCTTTTTAAGGAGTTTCTTTATCGGTGTAAAAAAAAACGGAGTTTCTTTGTCAGACATGCAGGGGAATTGAGTGCTCTTTTAGGTTGACTTTTTTATTTCTATTTTTCCATGTTTCTTCTGATGTGGAGGGTTCCTGATTGGCTGATCATTCTACATTATAAACATTTTTGCAACCTGTAATCACTAACTAAACTCCTGAATTTCTCAATAACTTTTATAGTGTAATAGTATCTATGGGATAGATTGGTTATTCGTTTCTTATTTTTGTATTAGGGAAAAAAGTGTAATCAAGGGCATACTTGCATTTGGATGTGTGACCATGTAATAACTGTATAAAGTGAACCTGTTTTTTTTTTTTTAATTTTAAATTTGTATTCTTTTCATTAAGTTCAGAGATTGGCATGCTATGTTGCATGTTTCTTGACTTTCTTTTTTATTCCCCCAATTTTTTTTGGTATTGATGTCATTAATTCTTGAGGATTTCTTATCCTCTTGTATTTGTTTCTTTCTTTCTATCTTAATAAATTATTTGGTTATAAAAAAAAATGAATAGTTTAGAGAATAAAATGTATTGCCTACTTGACCAAACAAATTCTTGACTATTGCGTTCTTTGTGCTTGTTGCAAAGTTTAAATATTAATAAATTTTGATCTTTGGTGTGTGGCTGGTCATCTGATCTAATATTTTTTGGGGGGCTAAATTATGTATTTGGTCCTCACAATATTTAGATTTCCCTATTTAGTCTTGTTTTAAATAAGTTATTATTTACTCTAGTAAGTTTTTATTTGGTCTGCAGAAAGAATTTTCCATTCCCATGTATAGTCCTTTTGTTAGGCCTCTGTTTATTTTGTCCATTAATTGCCAATGTGGCTCTTAAAAATGAGGGACCAAATGAAAAAGCTCGTCATTTTAAGGGAAACCAAAAAGTAAATGAAAAACAATACTATACAGACACACCTAACAGAAGACTAATAAAGGGACTACATGGAGAATGAAAATAAATTATATGGACTAAGTTATAACCTTTTTAAAAATGAGGGGCCAAATGGAGAAGTCACACTATTGAGGCATTAAATACATAATTTAACCTATCTTCTGCATGTATTCTGTATTGTCCTTTTCTGGTCATTGATTTTTATTTCTGACGCTGAGGTTTACTGTTAATAGTTAGGATGTCTTTCATTTTTGTGCTATCTTATGATGTGCTTTTAAAATTATGGCTTGATTTTCCTTTGATGGTATTCTTCAAAATATATTTTATAGATATACACAACATATTAGGTGCAAGTGGGAATTATATGTTTCAAAGTTGCTTATAGCTTGCAGGTTATTCTTTTTTTACAATTTTAACTAAATGTGGATATATTTCAGGCCATTAGCTAAAGGTCAGAGAGGAGAGGTATATGAGGTTAATGGAGATCGAGTTGCTGTGATCTTGGATATTAATGAAGATAAGGTCAAGGAGGGCGAAGCGGAAAACCTAAATGATGATCGTACAAAACCTCCAATTTATTGGATACATGGTAAATTTTTCTTATTCAAAATATAGATGAATATCATTCTTCTAAACTCTTTTCTCGTCTTCAAAATATGGTAAATGACACCCATATATTTTCCATGTTTAGATGATTGTTAGGAGATACTTCTTATGTTTCCAAATAGCCAAACTATCAATTTTCCTCTGCATTTTTATATATCTTGTACTGAATTTCCCATCATTCATAAACAATTATCGGGATCAGAATTGGATCTCCTTATTTCCTTCATTAGTCTTGCATATCTGCTCTATTTGCTTCTCCAATCCCTCCACTCTTGAGTCTAGCAGATTGGACCGATTGTTGAACGCACAGAGTTCTGAATAAAATAGAAATAATTTAGTTTTCAGGCCAGATTTGAGTAGGAACACAAGGTTTCCCTCTACCAAGGAGTTTCCTCTTTTGAAATATAAAGAATAACAATGTGATGCATGAATTCCTTCTTAAAAGTCTAACACAACTTATATATTTTTATAACTGTCACGTCATAACCTATAAGTATAACTGCCTAATCCAAAATTAATATGAAAATAACTGCCTAATAACTTCCTAATACAAATTGTAACTGCTTATATCAGATTTGGACTTATCATTTTGTAATAAGATATTGGTTATAATCGAAAAGGTCTTATTGATAAAACTTTCATTTATCCAAGATGTAGGCATAGGTGGAAAAATGGGATGAGTTGATGGCTCAGAGTTTGATGGTTATGTTTTTATTAACTTACTATCGAAGGTTGTTGTAGTAGTTTATGTCCTAGGACTTAAGAAAGTATTGAGGATATTGCTTGTGAACTATGGCAACTTTGACATATGTGAACTTGAGCTTCACCCATTTTGGATATACAAATATTTTTTTTTGTTTTTTTTTTAAGTAACTAAGAGTTTTTAATTTGATAACAGTTAAGGACATTGAGAATGATCTTGATGCTCAATCACAGGATTGCTACATAGCAGTGGAGGCCTTATGTGAGGTACAGTGCTATTATATTATTAATTTTTTTTTGAAATCTCATAATAAGATTACCACAATCTTGTTTTCCTGATTGGTGAACCTGACTCTTGTTCTTGCAGGTTTTGCATTGCAAACAACCTCTTATTGTCTATTTTCCAGACAGTTCACAATGGTTACATAAATCAGTTCCCAAGTCAAACCGAAATGAGTTTTTTCGTAAGGTTGAGGAGATGTTTGACCGGTTGTCTGGCCCTATAGTATTGATTTGTGGGCAAAACAAAGTTCAGTCAGGATCAAAGGAGAAAGAACAATTCGTAAGATTCAATTGTTATTTTTGGTCATGAAGTAATAAGATCTAAATGTTTGTCATTGAAATGTTAATTAATGCATTTACTTCCATTTTGTAACTAGTAACATTTTATTTTGACTTTTATCGTTGATCACATGTGATTTTTGACAGACAATGATACTTCCAAATTTTGGACGTGTCGCTAAGCTGGTAATGCTTTCTATCTTTCTACAAAGTTATGCATTCCCTAAATGTAATGTTGCAGAATTTATACATGATTGAAATTGGTGTCAGCTTTATCCATCTCCCATATGTACATTCTCCTTCTTCCAAATAGTGTGGCTTTGAAGAGTTCACATAATTATATTTTTTTATGCATTTGTTATCTTTGTTGGTAAGTTGCTGCTTTAGTCTCTTTAATAAGTGACTAAAGCTATAGATAGTAAAATTGAGAATTTGATTGTAATACTAGATTTTTGTTTTTATAATATAATACCTGCTTCGATGTCATAAAATTGTATTTGACTTTCTGCTGTAAATATATGATGTTCATGTGAATTTGACTTCCCTTCTTTTATGGTAATTTGTTTTCCATCATTCTTGCTATTCTATTTGTGAAAATATAGATCTTATGGGGACTTTTATAGGTATTATGTGCTTTGTTTTAGTGAACCTTTTGTTTTCTATTTTGGAGTGCATTAGATCAGGTTGAGATCTTCCCTTGAGCCATTTTTTCTGTAATGGATATATAAAAATGATTGATATCTTGTCTATTTACTACTTGCAAATTATTGAAAACCATTAGGCTTCAAGCTCATCTTTTTGTTTCATTAGGGGAAAGAGGCCTCTGTATTTATTTTTGAGGGGATTTTGAGAGATGATTGTTAAAGTGTGTAGTAAGAATTTAGAGGTAATAATGTCCCATGAAAAAGTGGAGACCAAAAGGGTGGTTACCAAAACCTATTTCTTTTATAATAGGTATAAATAAATATAATAGCTACAAATGATAAGATCATAAGAGAGTTATTTTTGTTAGATATATGATGATACTTCTTACTCTGTATGCTACCATTCTAAATATTGCGAGTATTTTTCCTTTTCAATTTTCTTGTAAGATTTGTTATGGCCATTTATATGGGTGCCCAATGTACTTGTAATCTGCCCTGGTGTCTGATTTATCATATGTTGAGTTGAATATGGATGCTGAAACCGGTGGTCAATAAAAGCTAAAAGGGTAGATTAGAAATCACCAAATAATTTTATATGGTCCCAAAATTGAATTCTTATTGATAACTGTTTACAGCCTCTTTCTCTGAAGCGTTGGACTGAGGGAATAAAAGGGGACAAAACATCAGATGATGATGAAATTAACAAGCTCTTCTCCAATGTTTTGAGTATACATCCACCGAAGGTAATTGTTTTGCATATGCATCCTGCTAAGTTAATCATTATGGTTGATGAATCACAGGGTAATTGTTTTGTCTACACTATTACTAGGGATGGGAAATTGGGAATAGGCTAGGCCTTTAATAGTGGATTTATGGCCTGACTTCTTTAAAGCCGGACTTTACCTCTTTAATAAAAAGGTAGGTTTAGGCTTTTAAAAAAACCTATTTATATAAAAAAGCCAGACTTAAGTTTATAGAAAAGGCTGTTAGGTATGATAGATCAGCCTATTTATTTATATAATAATAAAAAATAAGATATAAATTATTAAAAATATAAATAAACAAATAAATTTATAAAAAAAAATAAATTATCAATATTTAATATATTTTTTTATACCATTATTTTATTTTTATTATAGGTTTATAAGCTTAGATCTATGCATGAGCGTATATCAACATACATGATTAGACATGAATTGTTCTTTCAATAGAAAATGATTTAATTTTTCTCTTATATTTCTTTTAAAATTTATATTTTAATAATATTGAGTAAACTATATTTTAAAAATAATTTAGTTGATTTTTAAAAATTAAGTTTATTGGCCTAATTAATATTAATAATTTAAATTGGTTTTTAAATAGGTTAATAGGTCAAGTATACTTTAAAAAGGCCAAGCCAGACCTATAAAAAAAAGCCTATGATAGATAATAAGCCAAGTTTAGACTTTAATTTTGCAGAACAAGTCTAACCTATATATTCAAAGTCTGACCTGGTCTGGCCTACTTCCATCCCTAACTACTACTACAAGGATTCTGAGACTTGTCAAACTCTACACTTAAGTATGAAACATTTGAAGTTTTGAACATCTCTGTACACTACCCCACCTCTACTATAGGAACAATATCTAGCAAGCAAGAATATTAAAATGCCAATGTGCAAGTGCAAGTCTTAGTGAAGATATTTTTATTCATTACTAGCCAGACATATATATAGGAATATTATCACAGTAGAAAACTAAAGTGCAAGTGCAACATACATGATTTTTTTTAATAGTTTTTTGATATATTTTTCCTCATCTTTTCTTCACTGGCTTCATAAATTTGGATGTTCATATTGGTGGCCATTTCTGCTACGGATTTTCCCCCTTCTTCTAATCATGATAGAATCATATCTTTCTCAGGCATACATCAGAAAATATAATTCTTCATGAAGTCAAAGCAGAAATGTTATATCAGTTTCACTGTTGATTGGCTGTTTGAATTGTTCTAAGGTTTTCTGTTAAGGATTATAGAGCACCTAACTTTATACAATTTGATGAAAATGGTTCTAGTAGCTTGCCTGTTAATTTGCCTTCTGTTCTGCACATGTATTTTTTTTCTGTTTGTCATTTTTTCATCTGAAATTCTGTATGACACTTTGCAGGATGAGAATCTGCTGGTAACATTCAAGAAACAACTTGAGGAAGATAAGAAAATTGTGACATCACGTAGTAATTTGAATGTATTACGGAAGGTAATTCTCTGGTTTCTGAAGCATTTATTGTTACCCTGCTAGTAATCGATCATTATTGATGATATATTTAAGGTTATCAAATCAAGATGCAAATCTTGAATTGCCAAGCTAATTTTTATCATGAAGTATAATTTGTATTGAATCACAAGATTCAAAGACAATAAAAAATAACTTCAAATATGTCCTATAAATGATATAACATGTTCAGTGTAATAATTTTAAACTAGAAATTGATAAGTCTCATTAAACAAAACTATTTGATATATATATATATATATATATATATTAATTAGAAGAATGGAAACGCAATGAAATAGCCAAATAGAATGCATGCATTAAATAAGTGTGTGACAAATAAAGTAATGCTGCATTTTACACCATCAATACCAATAATTTATAGATGCAATTTCATCTTGCAGGTTCTTGAAGAACATCAGTTATCATGCATGGACCTTTTGCATGTAAATACTGATGGCATCATTTTGACGAAGCATAGTAAGTTCCATTCATTCTCTTATATATTTTCTAGTCTTTTCTTCATCAACCAATTTATTTGTATCTTTTCTCCATCCATAATGTATTATTTACCTTTCTGGAACGCAAATCTGAAATTGAGTAATGAATAAAACATATCTTAAATTGAGAAACTACAAAAAGTTCAAATGTTGATTTATTGGTTTAAATTCAGGAAGCACTTAAACTTGTTTACGCATTACTTGATTTAAGTGTAAGGGATGCATTTAATTACTACCTCGGTCCCTATATATAAGACCCTTTTTTCTTTTTTGCTTGTCCCTTTTTATAAAACTCTTCTAATTGTCAGTTGCATGAATTATATCTTCTCCAATTAGACAAAAGGTAATGAATACTTATCTCTTAAATTGGAGAAGATAAAAAGACACAGACATATCTTTCTTCCAAACATTAATTACTTAGGCGGGAAATGATTAAACGGAAAGAGAGAAGCTTAATTTAAGAGATGTTAAGGGTAATTTTGTAAAAATAGTTTAAATTATTGACAAATTTAATGCTCTTAACTAAATTAACTAATTTTCTTAAAGGGTGTAATTTAGTTGAAAGAGTTTTATAATTAGGGATGGAGGTAGTAGTTGATTGATGATGATTAAAAATAGGGGAAAAGAGAATTGTTGGCTTATTTTAAGTTTTCTTTGTTTTCCTTAATGCTAATATGCTCCTAAAGGTTTCCATTGTACAAATTGCACTCTTTCTTTATTAATAAAATATTTTATTAGAAAGGATGGGAGTACAAGGTGGGAGCATTAGTTATCTCCTTAAAGAATGAGGGCTGGGGCTGGGGTATAAGGGAGAACAATTTGTATCAGCTGAATAGGGCCTTGCAATTTTGTCAACTTGCACTCTAACATCATGTTCAAAACATGTCGATGTTGAGAATAGTTTGTTAAGCAATAAAAATGGAAAGTATTTAACAAGGAGTATAACATTTAATTTTCTGGGTACTTAAAAAGCTTTGTTTTCATTTAATACTTTCCATCTCTGAATCTTTATCAAATTTCTTAATCGCACTTGTTAGTAATCAGATTTTCCATCATCCAAACAAGATGTTTTTACATGTCATGGTTGTTGTGCATCATGTGTTTTTGTTTTCAGAAGCTGAAAAAGTGATTGGCTGGGCAAAAAATCATTATTTGTCGTCATGCTTGCTTCCATCTGTTAAAGGAGAAAGATTGTGCCTACCTCGTGAAAGGTATAAATATAAATCCTTTTACTCTATAATATATGTGTGTTTGGGTAAAATTCTAAGGTTCACCTGTACTTTGTGTGAAGTCTTGAAATTGCAGTCTCAAGATTGAAGAGCCAGGAAACTATCTCACGGAAGCCTTCTCAAAGCCTCAAGGCATGTGATTTTTTTAGTGCTACTATAAGTGATCTTTGTTAATAATTAAAATATTATTATGCATGCGGTTAATGCACTTATCATAAGAAACCTGCACCCACAAAGGGTACATAATATTATGAATGTGGTTAATGTGCGGAGGGTATGCATCTTCTGAACTATATTATACTACACTGTACTATTGGCTTAATGCACTTATCATACTGAAACCTGCACCCACAAAGAAGTACAGTTTCCCGAATATCTATTTTCCTAACAATTTTAAATTCAGGCCTTTTTTGTCTTATGTGGATTTTGTTCATGTGAATATTGTAACAGAACCTTGCAAAGGATGAGTTTGAGAGCAATTTCATTTCAGCTGTAGTACCTCCTGGTGAAATTGGGGTGAAGTTTGATGACATAGGTGCTCTTGAAGACGTGAAAAAGGCACTTAATGAACTCGTTATTCTTCCAATGAGAAGGCCAGATCTTTTCTCTCATGGAAATCTGTTGCGGGTAATGTTTGTTGTTTCTTTTATTTTATGCATTCTCACTGTAGCCAAATTGGTTATGTTCTCTGTATTCTGTGTAATTAATTTGAAGAAACATTTTCCAGCCCTGTAAGGGAATATTACTTTTTGGTCCTCCTGGCACTGGGAAAACCCTTTTGGCTAAGGCACTTGCGACTGAAGCTGGTGCAAATTTTATTAGCATAACTGGTTCGACCCTTACTTCAAAGGTAATTTTGATAACTTCATATTTGTCTCTTTCAGTTGATAGGTCTTTTGCAACTAAAACTTAAAAAAGAGACTTAGTAAAGTTTCGAATACATCTAGCTTGCTACATATCTATGAAATCCTTGATCCCTAAAGATAATCTTCTTACAAATAAAATGATAGTCAATCTCAATATTATTTGTTTGCTAATGAAAAATTAGATTAGTAGCAATGTGCAAAGTGTTCTGATTATCATAGATGATATTCATAGGCCTACATTTCAAAACTAACTCCTGGAGTTGTTTCAGCCATTAGTTCACATGTGGTAATGGCCATGGCTTTGTATTTTGCTTCTGCATGTTGGAAGGTCCCACATCACGTGCCTCAATTCCTAGGGTGCAACCTATATATTTGTTGGACAATTTTACTTAATGTCAATTGGTTTTAAAATGAAATGTAATATGGTATTAGAGTCCATAGCCTGTCTTGTAAATTGCCTATTCTAGTAGGTTCATCTGTTTTGGTAGGCATCTGTGGAAGGGGATGTTGGAAGGTTTCACATCGCTTGCCTCAATTCTTGGGAGTGCAACTTATATATCTATTAAGCAACTTTACTTAATGTCAATTGATTTTAAGATGAATAAAGGAATTATATGAGAGTGAGACAGAGAGAGAGAAAGCGAGAGAGAGATGAGAGAAGATTTACAATAGGCAAAAGAATGTAATTCATTAACCAACAGAAAACAGAGTACAGGGCAGGTTTATATAGAGCCAATTAAGATTGGTCTATAATAATCGAAATATCTATAATAACTGAAATATCTATAATAACCAAAAATAACAATAAAGGAGTAAAACTATACTCCAATAGCCCCCCGCAAGCTCAAGTAGGATGAGGAGACTCAACTACTTGAAGCTTGGACCTAAGATCACAAAATCGCGAAGGCGAGAGAGCTTTGGTGAGCACATCAGCACATTGATCAATAGCTGGAACATGAACAAAGAAAAGATCTAATTCCATATGCTTGGTACGTGCATGAAGAACAGGGTTGTGAGCAAGAGCCACAGTGCTCAAGTTGTCACAGAAGATAATTGGAGTAGAATGATTGACTTTAAGTTCAGAGAGCAAAGTTTGTATCCAAGTAACTTCAGTTGTGGCGAGGGCAAGACTCCTGTATTCGGCTTCCGTAGTAGAGCGCGCAACAACAATTTGCTTTTTGGACCACCAGGACACGAGATTTGGTCCTAGGAAGATGGAGGCACCAGATGTAGATCGCCTATCATCAGGATCAGACGCCCAGTCTGCATCACAATAGGCATGAATCGAGAGAGAGGAAGGGGAAGAAGCAGGTAGCAGACGAAGACCCCAGGACGTAGTGCCCTTCAGATACCTGAGAATTCTTTTAACAGCAGCCCAATGATGTGTAAGGGGATGAGACATGAACTGGCAGACTTTGTTTACAGAGAAACTAATTTCAGGTCTTATAATGGTAGCATATTGCAATGCACCTACAACTGAACGATAGAGAGAAGCATCCAAGAAATCTTCAGAGCCTGCTTTTGATAATTTGCTGCCAGAAACCATGGGAGAAGAAATAGGTTTTGATCCTTCCATATCAGTACGATTCAATAGATCCCGGATGTACTTACTTTGAGTGAGAATGAGAGAACCATCAGGCTGAGATTTTACTTCAATGCCAAGAAAAAAATCAAGATCACCGAGGTCTTTGAGAGAGAAGATTGAATGGAGTTGAGAGACAAGCGTATGAAGAATTGTGGAATTATTGCCAGTGATTATAATGTCATCAACATACACCAGAATGTAGATGACATTATTGGCATGAGAGTATACAAACAGAGACGGATCACATTTGCTGGCATAAAAGTTTAATTGCAGCAGAGTTGATTTGAGCTTGTCAAACCAAGCACGAGGTGCTTGTTTGAGCCCATAGATGGCTTTGTGTAGTTTGCAGACGAGATTTTTATCAGATGCTTCAAATCCTGGTGGTTGTGTCATGTAGACTTCTTCTTCAAGGGTGCCATTGAGAAAAGCATTGTTAACATCTAGTTGTTGAATGGGCCAACGATGAGTTAGGGCAAGGGTGAGAATGAGCCTGACAGTGACGGGTTTGATAACAGGGGAGAAAGTTTCATGATAGTCAAAGCCAAATTGTTGATTAAATCCTTTGGCAACAAGACGTGCTTTGTACTTTTGGACCGTACCATTAGGATTTTCCTTGACACGGAAGACCCACTTGCAACCTATAGCAGTGCGGTGCGGTGGTAGAGGAACAAGAGACCAGGTGTCATTGTGAAGAAGAGCATTGTATTCTGTTTGCATGGCAGCAGACCAGGTAGGATTAGATAAGGCTTGTTTGGTGGTTTTTGGTTCAACATGAGTTAATAGAAGTGTGGGTTGTAGACGTGGTTTGACTATACCGTCTTTTGCTCTTGTGGTCATAGGGTGCACATTGTGAGGGTGAATGACAGGAGATGAGGAAGGTTCAAGGTTGGAGGATGTTGGAATGGATAAAGTGGAGGGAGAGGTACCCGTGGCAGCAGCACCAGGGGTGTAGGAATCAGAAGTTAGGCTTGGTGAGGTTGCGAGTGGATTAGGGGAGGTGGGTCTGGTCTCATGGGAGGGTGTGGGAGTGGGGTTTATAGTGAGAGGAACCGAAATAGGATGGTGGGAGACACTAGCTGTGGAAGAGGAGAAGAGTTCCTTGTAGGGAAATTTAGTTTCATTAAACACTACATCATTGGAGATGTAGAGACGCTCATCAGCAGCAAGACATTTGTAACCTTTGTGGGAAGTGGAGTAACCAAGAAAAACACATTCTTGGGATCGAAATTGAAGTTTGTGTTTGTTGTAGGGCCGAAGATGGGGAAAGCAAGAGCAACCAAATATTCTAAGAGAGAGATAATCTGGTGGTTGATGGAATAGTTTGTGATAAGGAACAACATTCTGAATAGATGAGGAGGGAAGTCGATTAATGAGATAAACGCCAGTGAGAAAGGCATGATCCCAAAATTGCATAGGTAATTCAGCTTGAGCCAACAACGTGAGACCAAGTTCAACAATATGCCTGTGTTTTCTTTCAACAACTCCATTTTGATGGTGAGTGTGTCGACAGATTAGACGGTGTTGAATTCCAACTTCATTCAAATAATTAGTGAAGGAACGATACTCACCACCCCAATCAGTTTGCAATGCTTTGATCGGGTGGTGATATTGATTGTTAACCATAGCGTGAAACTGCTTGAAAACATTAAAAGTTTGAGCTTTATTTTTGAGAAGATAGATCCACGTAAAGCGTGTGTGAGCATCAACAAAGGTGACATAGTATTGATAGCCACAGGTTGACGTAACCGGAGCAGGTCCCCATAAATCGTTGTATACTAAATCAAAGGGTGTATTGTAAACAATTTTAGACAGATTGGAAGGTAATCTGTGGGATTTACCAAGACAACAAGGAGTGCAGAAATCTGATTTATTATTGGTCACAAGTTGAATGTTGAAGTTCCGGGAAACATGTTTCATTACATCAACATTAGGATGTCCTAATCTAGAGTGCCAAGTGGCAAAAGAAACATAACTCTTTGCTGCTGTATTAACAGAGAAGGATCTGGCCGGTTGCACCTGCTGGACAGATTGTGTACTGGGAGTTGGAAGAAGTGCAGGAAACTGGTACAGGCCATCAGGACCAACCGAGCCTTGGAGGAGAACTTCTTTAGTGTCCTGTGATTTGACCAAGCAAATGTAGGGGTGAAATTCAAAATATACAGAATTATCCTTGGAGAATTGACTAACACTGATTAGGTTTTTTGTGATGGAGAGCACAAATAGAAGATTGTTTAGAGCAAATTGAAACTTAGGGTTGATTGGAGAATGAAAGGTGGTAACACCTGTGGAGTTAATGTGAAGCCCTTGTCCATTACCAACATGGATTTGATCGGGTCCTTCAAAAGGAGTAAATTGTTGAATATTTTGAGAGACATTGGTAACATGATTTGATGCCCCAGAATCCGGATACCAATTGTTGTTGCTTGAAGAGGAGGACGATGCAATCATGGCTTGAGGTTGCGCCTGGGTGGAGGTGAATTGGACTTGAGGAGTAAATTGAGGTCTAGGCCCAAGAATGCCATTTTGATGAAGAGAAGAAGAAGCAGGTTGATTGCTATACCACACGCTTGTGTTTGCATGTTGGTTGGTAGAGTGGTACGCGGGTGCTTCAAGAGGTGAGGATGGAACATAGGTTTCATCAAAACGATAATAGCAGGCAGAAGCAACATGTCCGTACCTATGGCAGACTTGACATTGGTACCCAGCAAATCTGCCTCGTCCACGGCCTGCCCGGTTGGAGAAACAGCCACCACGAAAATTGGTGCGACCCCCTCGACGTTGAGAAAAGGCAGATTGGTTTTCTTGATGGGCAAGATGTGCTTGTGGGTTCGTGACAGACAGATTGGGTTCAGGGGTGGTGGTGGTGACATTAATGGAGGCAGCGACTTTCTTCTTGAACTTGTCAAGACGGGATTCATGGCCAAGAAGCAAGGTCTCGACTTCATCTATGGTCAGAAGGTCAAAACGGCTACTGATGAGAGACACGGTGGATTCGTATTCTTCGGGTAAGCCTTCAAGAATTATATCAAGGTGTTCCTTTGGAGAAACAGAGTCGCCGATGGCTGTGAGGGCATCAACTAGGGTTTGAATTCGAAGCACATATTCAGAGATTGTCTGATTTTCAAGACTTGTATTGCGAAGTTCATTGCGCAATTGGCGGGCTTTGGCATTCATATGGGAGTGAAAGTATGAGTGAATTTTGTCCCAAAGCTGGAAGGAGGATTTGCAACCGATAACTCGTGTAAGCATGTCTTTAGACATGGAGGATTGTAACCAAGAAAGTAGTAATTGGTCTTGCTATTCCCAGGCAAGATAGGATTCAGAGATGCGACCAGCATCTCGGTCAGCAAGGGTTGCAAACTTCTTAGGAATCTGGGGGTTGACAAGATAATGATGAAGGCGGTGACCCTTGATGACGGGTTCAACCTGTTGACACCAAAGAAGATAATTCTTGGTGTCAAGTTTTTCGGAGATGGTGAGAGAAGGTGAGAGACGGATGAGAGTTAGGGGGAGGATTCTTGGGAGGGACGGTGTTTACGGGGTTAGCATGAATGGGTGGAGGAGGCGTTGGTGGTGGGGAAGAATTCATTGTAGAGGTAGATTCAGCCATAGGAAGATGTTGCGCGAGCGGAAACGGAGAGAAGAAGAGGATCAAGAAGCTCTATGATACCATAAAGGAATTATATGTGAGTGAGACAGAGAGAGAGAAAGCGAGAGAGAGATGAGAGAAGATTTACAATAGGCAAAAGAATGTAATTCATTAACCAACAGAAAACAGAGTACAGGGCAGGTTTATATAGAGCCAATTAAGATTGGTCTATGATAACCGAAATATCTATAATAACTGAAATATCTATAATAACCGAAAATAACAATAAAGGAGTAAAACTATACTCCAATAATGAAATCTAACACTGCATTGGACCGTGTGACAACATTCTACTTCCCCATGAAATGAGATTACCCCCAATAAGAACATAGTAGCAAGAAGTAGATTGTCTCATTGGACAACTTGCCTAATCTGCATCTATGTAGGCATCAATACCAGAATGGCCTTTATCTGCATACACTAGACCTCATTTCAGGAATCCCTTGATAGATCTTAAAATTCCAACCACAGCATCCCAATGACAGTATCAGTTACCCTTTATAGTTCGACCATACACTATATAAAGACTGGATAAGATCATGAACAAAACATGTCAAGCCAAAAACCTGAGGAGGATCATTAGTAAACAGTTTGGAGTGAGATAGTTTTGGACTTCCAAATGGATTTATCAAGAAGAAATATCTAACGTTTAAGACTAGGTTAGAAACTTAAATACTGAACTTGATGGAAAACACACCAAAAGAATACGAAAGTCATATACTTCAATCTGGATTGGAAAATAGATAAATATAATTAAGTAAAAGCATGTGGGTCTATAATTCACTAGTTTTTCTAAAATCAAGTTCCTTTGAAGCATATGTGATATCTTATATATTTGTTTTTTGGTTTTTTTGCTTATACAGTGGTTTGGAGATGCTGAAAAACTAACCAAAGCACTCTTTTCGTTTGCCAGCAAGCTTGCTCCTGTCATTATTTTTGTTGATGAAGTGAGTGTCTGAATGCATAACTTATGTCATTAGTTTTTTTTATAAAAATGTTTACCATATACTAGAAAAAAATGTATTTCTTTTTGTGCATTGGTATTTGCAAGTTTTTTTACATATTTTGTTATTTTAGTTCTGTATGTTAAATTGTTATTTTAACAGGAAAAAAATGCAATTTAAGAAGTTCAATAACTACTTTGAGTGAACCTTTGAGGACTAGCCTTGTCTCTTCTTTCAGACAAGTCTGGGCTCTTGAATTGACTAGTTGAAATGGAAAAAAGAAAATACGTTGGCACTTTTTAATGTCACATTTATAAGATCACTCGATGCATAGCAAGAAAATCAGTTTGTCCTTTTGGTTTTTTCCTTCCCAAAAGGCTGGAGAGTAAAAGTATACTTTAGAATTTTAAAATTCATCATTTCTCCTTTATGTAATACCTTTTTTTTTTTCTCCATTTAGTTTATTTTTACTTATGCCAAAACATTAGTGTCCACTTTCCAGGAATGCGCCTTAGAAAGTAAGAAAAAAAATTAATTAAAATATTCATTTAAAATGAGCCCTCAAGCCTATATGCTTTATCAGTTTGTCTGACTCAATAATGTCTTGGAATCTTGGTTTCTGACTAAAATTTGTATTGTAGGTTGACAGTTTGCTTGGTGCTCGAGGTGGTGCTTTCGAGCATGAGGCCACTAGAAGAATGAGGAATGAGTTCATGGCAGCTTGGGATGGATTAAGGTCAAAAGAAAATCAAAGAATCCTTATTCTTGGTGCCACTAACAGGCCATTTGACCTTGATGATGCTGTTATTCGTCGCTTACCAAGAAGGTAAACTTTAAGATTCCTCTTAGAAAGTTATCAGCTAAATGGCTGTAGTCATTTATCACATTTTTGAATTATGACTGTCCCATGTTCTGTCTGTTTTTCATACTGTCTTATATTTTTTTATCCATGTCTAGTTTGTGCGACATCACTTGCTACTTTCTGGAGGTGAATATACTTGAGATTTAAAATATGGCAAAATCAGTGAGTTTCTCTCAGCTGATGCATTATATATATATGAGAAAGGTCAGAACAAGTACAATACAAAGGAAAAGGCTACAGCCTATGACCCTTTACTCTTAAGCTAGATATGGCCAAAAAGCAGCTTTATAAAGCTATACAACTTATAATAAACAACTATTTTAACACTCCCCTTAAGCTGGAGCATATAAATTGTATGTATCAAGCTTGGAATATAGATTGAATCCTAGATTCTTAGTTAGAATGTCTGCAAGCTGATTATTAGTGCTGATAAACTCAATACTAAGTTCCTTGAACAACAGTTTCTCCCAAACAAAATGACAATCAAAATCAGTCGTAATGTTTGGTTCTCTCATGAAACATTGGATTGGATGCAATATGAAGGGCTGCTTGATTATCACAGTTCAACTTCATCAACTTCATCCACACTAGTTCACAAGTAGCCAAAGCCATAGATCTATATTTTGCTTCTTCACTAGACCGGGCAACAACACTTTGTTTCTTGTTCATCTAGAGATAATATTCCCTCCTTTAAATATTTCCCTTGTCCTCATACAACAATCCTTATCTTGCAGTCTTTTTGACATATTTGAGAATGCAAATCACAACATTCCAATGGTCAATGTGAGGATTCTGCATGAATTGACCAACAACTCCGACTGCAAAACAAAAACAAAAAATATTAGATCTTGTAATAGTGAAATAAATGAGTTTCCCACCAGCTTCCTATACCTCTGGATTTGAAAGTTTCACCTTTGTCTCTGGTTTGGGTGCATATGACTATCAATTGGCTTGCTATTTTCAAACTTGTTTTCTCCAAAATATCAAGAGCATATTTTCAAGTCAACATTTACAATAGGGAAGTATTTGATAAATACTGGAAATTACAACCTTTTTGCTAACTCAGCTTTGTGTTTGAATCATGTTTGTCTAGGATATATGTTGATTTACCAGATGCTGAAAATCGAATGAAGATTTTAAGAATCTTTCTTGCACAAGAAAATTTGGATTCAAATTTTCAGTTTGACAAACTAGCTAACTTGACTGATGGATACTCTGGCAGTGATTTGAAGGTAAACATTATTAAGTACAACTGAATCAAAACTGCTATATTTTAGGCACCACTATGCTAGACCACATTAGGAATGTGAGGGATCAAAGGGAAAGTAAGGTAGACGGCTAAGAATGCTACCTTATTTTCTGTCTCATCTCACATTAGGAGTGTGAGGGATCAAAGGGAAAATAAGGTAGATGGCTAAGAATGCTATACCTTATTTTCTGTGTCATCCCTCACATTTCTCTTGTAGTCCAGCATAGTTGTGCCTAACATTATATTTATCATGCTTTCTTATGCTGCAATATTTAACATTCCATGTGTAAACATCTCTAGTCATGTTTCTTATGCTTCTTCATGCTTATATTTGCAGAACCTCTGTATTGCTGCGGCATATAGACCTGTTCAAGAACTCTTAGAGGAAGAAAAGAAGGTACGAATATCATAAATTTGATCTTTCTTAATTGATGAATATGTGAAACTAGCTAACATTTTATGTAGCAATTTCTGGGATTCGCACACTATCCTTTTTAAAATTCTCTTAACGCACATTTGATGCACATGGTGATATTTGGTAATTACATCTCCATATTCATGGAAAATATTAATAAAGAAAAAGAAAATCTAATATAAAATATGTCCCTGTCATTGCAACTTTGTTCATCAGATCTGGATGCTGTAAAAACTCCAGGAAAATATTTATTAAATACTATCTACTCCCACAGTTAATTTATCTATAAAAACATTCAGACCTAAACAATTACTATTGAAGCCACTATATTTAAACGTCTACATTTCTGCTGCTTTTGATATAAAAATGGGAAAAAATGTACTTGTAGCAATTGAAGTATCGAGTGTTCTTGTGTGTAAAATTCAACTTAGTTGTTACTATTAATATAAAAATGAATACCTGAATCAATATGGTTATACATATCTTGAGGAAATAATTTATAATTATTTGGTGAAAAGCAACGATAACTGACCAATAAATGGTTGTAAGCATTAGCTGTTAAATAACGGGTTTAATTGTTAATGGATGATAGAGGTACCTTGAGATGTCCACCTTCCTCAGTACTAAATAGTATTTTCCATCGTAATAGGTTATTTTCTTTGTTAATCGTCTCTATTGGCTTCTAATATATAATGTTGGTTTGCATTTATTACTGAATCCCATTTTAAACAAATAAAAGCATTGTTTACCTCTATATGTACTATTAAATGGTTTTTCAAAATGAATTCTACATTTTCAAATGGTTTCAAAATGAATTCTGCATATGTGAATTCTCTTTCCACCTGGTAGAATTATAGAATTGTAGCTTCAATTTACTTTTAATTGGATTTATTTGTCTGCTGCCTCACATGGTATCTCATTTGGTTTGCACAGGGAGCCAGTGAGGGTACAACTTCAGTACTAAGGCCTCTTAATGTGGATGATTTTATTCAGGCAAAATCCAAGGTATGTATGTGTGTGTGTGTGTGTATATATATATATATATATATGATATTTTATTTGTTCATTTCGAATTATGTTCTTACAAAGTCCAAGTTGTATTTGTGGACCAGTTTTACATGATTTTTTTAAAAAATGCATTTGATGAAAATGTGTAGGTGGGTCCATCAGTTGCGTATGATGCAACAAGCATGAATGAGTTGAGGAAGTGGAACGAAATGTACGGAGAAGGCGGTAGTAGGACAAAATCACCTTTTGGATTTGGGACTTGACCTCATCACTAACCAATGCAATGCTTCTTTGATTTGATAGATAGATAGATAAACAAAAGACTTTGAGCTTATTACTTCTCACTGCCCTCTGCATTTCGGTAGCAGTGCTTTCCCAAATTTATTTATACGAATTGGTTGTTAGGAGGATGTTTCGTGCTGATACAAGAGTAATTCAGTTTAATGTATTGTAATGAAATGTAGGTAGCCTCTAATTTTGTCTAGGGAATGTGCTATCTTATGCTTAACAGTAGGGGTAATTTCCCCAATTATATATATATTTTTTTCAGCTATGTTTAATAATTAAATTTCATCATGGGATGCTGTCATTGATGTATACTGATTATTTTTTATTTTATTTTATTATTATCATTTATTTATTTTTATCGAAAATGACTTGATATGATCCTCAGTTTGTGGTTAAGCGCCTCACATCATTATTGGATTGAAATATCAAAATCATGTTAACAAATTTATTGACATCGTTCAGTTTATCCTGTAGGATCATTTTATATTCCCGGTATAATGAAATAAAATGAATCGTGACAGTATTTTATAAATAAATTGGTATCTTGAACATATTACTAAAAGCGCATCTAGTGCACCCAATAGGAGTCGAACCAAGATGATCTGACCATTTGTAAATGATTATCTGTGCCGGGTCAGTGTGTAATTAATCGATTGATTGAAATAAAATTTTGACAGATTACTGTAGTCCATTCTACATGGGTCGTAGTGTGTTCTACCTTGACTAATTAAAAAACTTTCTATCCCTTTTACATTGCAAGCGTTCCTAACATACCCGACCATCGAGTCAGCTGCATTTTAAATTTCCAAGTTCATAAAATAACTTTCGAACAATTTGACATCGATTAATACTTTATAGGGAGCCGACGAACGCAACAGGTATGACATTATCCAAATATTGAAAAATAAATCATTTTTTAAAAAATTAAGCCATACGCGCAAAAACACGAGAAATTGAATGAATAGACACCATTTTAAGGACATTTGATGCTTAACAATACCAATTTAATATTACACGTATTTGAAAAGATCAGAGGCTAGATTGAATAGAAGTAGCTCTTGAAAGTAGTACCTTAATTTTCACCACGTGTCCATACTAAAACAGCTACATATAGTTAAAAAAAAATACAATTCGGCCATTAAAGCCGTCAAAATCAGCCACCCACTAAAATATTATCCAAGAATCAAAACGACATACGCCAGCCTATGCTATTTTTTCCACTCAACCAAATAGAAAACAAAAATAAGCAAACCAGATATTAGAGAGTTATATACAACGATAAATATACATAAAAGAAGATTACAATTAAAATCTAAATTTACAAAACGGTGTTTATGTGTAGTGCTTTAAGTAATGACGTAGCCATCTGTTTGACCAACACTTGCCCATCTCTCCGTTCCCCTATTAAGTTTTGAAGTTTTTCAGGCAGATCATTTTCCACAATCAACTTCTTGGGCTGAGGATGATGCTCATAAACAGCCTGCAAGGTCATAACGTAAGAATTAATGGTGTGGCGGCAAACACAAACTTGCACGTTGCATACGTACATATTTTACACCGAGCCATGCCAACACTTACATGAACATATAATTTTTGGAATTTCTTTTTAAGTTCCAGAAGTAAAATCTTGTATGGCAACCACTAGATATATGAAAACTTAAGTTCAATCTTCATTGCCACTATGTAATCTTTCTTACTAATTATAAAAATCTTCTACGCCATTTTGTTCATTCACTTTTTAGTTTTTGATGAATGAAAATTTTGACATCTCTTTATTAGGCAACACAACCTGATTAACCATACTATGGGAGGTGTGGTATTACCCACCAGAGTTTTTAGCATGAATTAACATATACCATATATGCATCCTTACCTTTATTAGCCTGAGCAAATTAAGACGAGCTATAGCATCCTGATGATCTAGCCTTGCAATGAGCAATGGCGTTAATCCATTAACAGCCAATGTGGTATTGATCCTTGCAGATTTTCTGCATACAGTTAAGTGATGACACATTACATAAAATTCCAGTAGAAACGAAACTGAGAATGATAGCATTTGGATATAAAAATAAAAATAAAAATAAAAATGATATTCTAACAACTGCAGTAGCATCAAACATCACGTAATCAAGTGATAAAGATCTCTAGGTACTTCTAGCAAGAGAGCACTACCGCGTATATGGTTTTCTGATATTTTCTTCTCCTAGGAAGATATCTTACTTGTAATCTCTTCCTTGCTTCGAAATAATCTTTTATAAAAAAAGGAGAATTTTGACTAGGAAGAACCAAAAAACTCAATTGCCTCCTAATTAACCCATCCCCAACATCACTTAAACAGTTGAACTTTATGACAACAACAATAAAAGTCTTATTTCACTAAGTGAGACCAGATATATGGATCACACGATGACTTGACTAAAGGCCAAATCAAATTCTCAGGGATACTATTAGACAATTGAACTCTACAATAAACCTGATTACATACAAGCTTAAAAGTATTTTTGAGAACTTCTTTACTAAAAAATATTATTTATTTTTAGTAGAGAAACTTTAAAAAATGCTTCTAACTTGTATCCAAACAGACTATATGTTAAATAAATCAGCATTATTCCTTGTGCAATCTAAGAGCAGTATCCATAATTATTGATATCAACTTTTCCTTATTAGGGTAGCAATGACAGCAATAATAAATAATGAAGTTGCAGTCAATAAAGCAAGGACCATCAGAACACCAAGCTATCCAATGTAAAGGTTTTTATTGCTGGTTATCTAGTTACAGATGCGACCCTTTAGGCTTTTCCTCATGCATCTCTCTAAAATTGCAGTAATCCATTTTTCACTGTCTAAGATTGCCTATAACCAAGTTACTTAGGACTGCCAAGCCTCGTGATTCGTGAAACATGATAAATCATAAAATCTGTTACGCAGGTCAGATAAATTCAGCCCATCCATTCAACCGACCTTATGCAATGTCTGGGGCAAACACCTTAAACAGTGTTTTTATCTTACAATTCCCATACATTATTTGGCTGAAAGGGTGGGAGTGGGACAATGCAAGGAAAGATATGCTAAGAAACATTCCCATTGCCCCTATTGGGAAAAACCCAAGTCCCACATCGACTAGAGATTAGGCAATTGAATAGTATATAAGTGGAAAGCAACCCTCACCTTACAAGCCGGTTTTGTAGGGTTGAGTTAGGCTTAATCCACTATTCTAACAGCCCCCATTATAACTTATTTTTCCCATATAATTATATGCTACCATATAATTAAATGAAATATTTTTTATATCTTACATGTTGCCTACACCTATTCCCACTTCAGTAACACTTTGTTTATGACCTAACCATGCAATAATAATTTATCAAATAGTTGAAGCATTGAATGACACAATCAAATACTTAAATAATGGGACAATTGAGGAGAAGGGAATTAGAATCATATACGTGATGATTTTCAAGAATGGCTCCAATATGTGTACAAAATGCTGCTCTGGACAGCACTGGAAGAACTTCACAAGCTTTTGAACTGCATCCTTTTTCAGCAATGATTGTTCAACCTTCCTGTTGTCATTATCATGGGCTAAACAAACAGCAATAGAATCTAGTGCTGTAACAGACCAGATCTCATCCTCAAGAAGGTTCAAATAGACATCCAAACCACCATGAGCCCTTAACTGCTCCCTTGAATTGCGAGATGCATGAGCCATGTCACATAACAGTGGCAATGCATATTGTTTCAAGGGAGAATTTGATGTGATGAATTGCATCAAATGGGGAATGATTCCATTTTCAGCTGCTTGTTCTTGTCTCCTCTTATTTATCTTGCATAAATTGAATAGTGCGTTCAACACCTATAGAAAGGAAAATGAAAGATGAGATTCAAGCCAATTTTAGATAGCTACCACCACCAAGCAAGACAAAGAAAGGACAACAACAATTACAGAAATTACACCAATCTAGAAAATCAAAAACAGAGAAATGAAATCAATGAAGTCCAAAATCCCATAATATATTTGATTAGAAAGTAACTAACTACACAACATGATATACACGGTACTTTCTGCACCCAATTGTTTATTTTTTGTTCATAGTTAAAGAACATTGCAGTTACTACATGACCAGTGCTAAATCAATTTGAACATAATACAAACAGAAGCTGAGAAAGCATGGTACTGAAAATTATATGAGAAATATAAGCTGAGAAAGACGTACCTCATGATGTATCTCTGAAACAAGGGACCCTTCTTTGAGTTCAAGATTTGGTATCAAGTATTTAATTGCTTCAGCACGCTGAAGATTTTCTAAGCAATTTGGATCAGTTGACAGATGATTAATACACTTCAGTATCTAGAATATAGGCCAGTACATAAATGGTCAGAAACTATAGTAGTAGGACTGACATAAGCTAAATTATCAAAAGATATGTTTGTGTCACACCTTCAACAAAATAGGAGGCTCCACCCTATTAAACATCTGGAAAAGCCGACTGAGCAAGCTTTGGCTACACATGAAATATTTCACTGTTGTGTCTGCTTGTGCAAACTCAAGCAGAAGATCTGCCACTTTCTCCAGATACTCTCTGGCAAGTTCTGCATTCAGTGATGAAACCATGTGGGAAAGTAGCCCAGACGAAGTAGCACTACCTGGTCTAGCATTTAGAACACCTGAACCAGACAGTACACCTGATGCTGTCTGCGAGGCAATCCCAGATGTGGAAGCAGCTCCTTCGCTGGAACCCAAAGTCCCTAATTTCTTGGGAGTGACTTTATGAGACACTCTAGCACCGGAGTCAAGATTTCCATTTTCCCTTCCACGTTGAGAAACATCTGCACAACCACAAAAAATGTGCCATTGATAAAGAAACACAAATGACAACCAAACCAAACAAAGACAGAATAAAATTTTATAAAAATAACAGAACAAAACAGATTTTATAGCTAAAGCTTTGAAGTCATGTTGACTATAGAATACATGGTCAAAAACTATTGTAGGAACAAATATAACCCAAATGATATAGGGCAGAACTAGATTTCAACATGCATTTTTTAAAATTAAAATAAAAATGAAAAAACTTTTACATAGCAACAATATATAATTTGAACCCTTGCAGTAAACAATAACTTGCCAGTCAAAGCGTTCAAGCTTGTTGAACACTTCCACTAGAAATTTGGAAACTAACACATCTTGGCTAATAAGAGCTAATAAGACAACAAGAAATAACATCTTCGTGTAAATGTAATTGCTATGAGAATGAGTATTCCCAGAAAGGTTGAAGGATGTTCTGAT